TCCATTTCTGGTATACTAAAGGATATACAAGACCAATAAAAAGTTGTGGGACTAGGTGTCCTGCACTATAGAATAATAAAATAAAATAAATAATAATAAAATAATAAGATAAATAATAATAAAATTAAAATCTATGATTGATAGAAAGCCTTTTTATCAGGATTTTGAACATATTGAATAACATTTTCAAGTATATACTTTTGTCTTTCAGGGGTTAAACCTAAAGGATGTTTTTCTTCTAAAACAGCATCCATGGTAAAATTTTTAGTTATGTCTATAGTCATAAGTTCTCCATTAATATTTTTTTTAACATATACAATCCCTGGCTCTTCTTGATTAAAAATAAAATGATGATATTTTAAAATATTTGGTAATGGTTTAAAAAATTTTCTTAAATATTCAGTCCAGCTGTGAAAAAAAACTTTTCTTTCACCATTTTCATCATAAATTGTTTGAGCATTATTGTACCCATTTGTTGATGATTCTACAACATTAACAAGGTCCTCTAAATCATCAATTTCAGAATTTTTAAGTTTCAATTTAAACAATCCAAAAAACCATCAAGGACTAAATTTGGTATGGCCAGCTACCATAAAAGAATATGTAATTCTTTTATGTTTACCTGTTAACACTCTCCAGGCCAAATATTGAATCATTGCATTGTTTTTATTTTGACCAGAACAATTATCTGCATGAATTATTATTTCTTCTTCACCAAGACTATGTTGTTCAAAATAATTATGAACTAAAGAAATCACAGCATCAGCTCCTTTACCAATATACTGTGATTCTTCTATAAGATAATTAATCTAAATAAATAATAATTATAGTTATTATATACTGTAGTTTAAAGAGTTGATTAAAAGAATTATTATTTCACCTGTCTGGGTCTAAAATCTTCACAAATGCCAAATACTTGAACTTTATATAAAGATTTAAAATATGAACTTGACTATTATTTATAATAATAATAGCACAATTTAAAATCAATTACCTTTGAAAAAATTATATATAAATAAAAATAATATTGCATACCACTTGTTGTGAAGAATATGGGATATGAACTTGTTCTGCAAAATCCCATGAAATGTGAAGTTTAATATTAAGTGAATTTGTAGATCTAGTGGGATTTGAATCTTGATTTATATTTTCAAATGTTTCCTTTGCATTTTTTATGCAATCTCTAAAAAATCAACATATAAATTTAGCAAAAATTTTTAACAAAAAAAAAAAGAAAAAAAATATACCATGATTGATACCTATAATATTCATGCTCCTTCATTGCCCATGTAATATGATCATTCCATTCTCTAACCTTCATTTCCTTTTCTTCTTCCATCCAACAATTTGCATTGAACCTATGTTCTTTGCAAATATGACATAAATATACATGCGATGGTAATTATTTTGCCAAAAACGTAATACGTAATACGTAATACTGCGAGCGTGCAATCCGAGTTTCCTATTTTAATAGGTTATTTATGGTTCAACACACAGCCTCCTTGCTGACTTACGGTTGATTCTATGGTTTGACACACAGCCTACTCGCTGACTTACGGTCAATTTCCTTTATTTATATATATATGACACACAGCCTACTCACTGACTTACGGTCAAAAATTAATTAAAGTATAACTTTTATCTTTTCAGATAAAAGGGTCCCTAGGTTCTATATATGTAATTATATCCCAAAGGCGTCCCCTTGAG